AGTGAACAAAACAGAGTCCCTGCCTGCAAGAAGCTTGAACACTGATGGGGAGATGAAGGCAGCAAGATGGTACCTTAACACCTTCATTAATACGGAAGAAGCAATGTGGTGTCTTAGAATAAACATGGGTTTTGGAGTCAGGCTGGTTAAATCCCAGCTTGGTTCCATTTACTAGTGGTGATCTTTGGGTAAGTAAGCCTCCATTTTTCCTTCTATGAAATGAAGATGATACCTGTTTCAGAGTGGTCCTGTGAAAAGCAGATGAGATAATGTATGGATTCACTTCTTAACTAGCATGAAGTAGAGGCTGCTTAAATCTCTCTTATCAATGACATGTGTTAAAGTAAAATATGAGACAAGGCACCAGAGTTTAACTGTATGCTTTTGCATTGCAGGAACCAGAAAAATGAGCACCAGAGAGCAATCACCATGACAGTCTGGAAAAAGTGTCTTTTGGGATTCAGTCTAAATCTGATGCTGACTGTTTGCTGTGGGTCCTAGTTCTAAAGAGGGTGTGTGCTGGGTGATAGACAAGGAATCTGGTTATGAAAAAGGGGTTTGCCTCCATCATGTGTAAACTAATCTGGATTCTGGTATCTCATTTCCCAAGAAAGGGATCCAGATGAACTGGCAGAATTAGCTTAATCAAACTTAAAAGACAGTTCTAATCACAGTGGCTCACCCTTGGCCAGTGCCCCAAGAGGTCCACCATGGGACAGTCCGTGAGCTCCTCTCATTTTTTATAATAACCACAGTAATTCTAGAAATAATGACTGTCCTCCCCTAATACACAAGACGTTTTGAGTATGGTTACCAAAGAGCACTAAAAATCCCTGCAAATATGCACAACAGAGATACATACTCAAAATCATAAACAGACATTTGAGAAGGAGAGGCTTTAAACCAGACAGAAAAACTGCAAGTGTAAGCTTACTATACACTTTAATTGTACTCTGAACAAAAACTTATTTCTAAGAGTTAATCAAAAAGATTTTCTGTACCAGAAAATGTCCTAGTAACAACTGAATGAACCGTGTTATTGGATCTATAAAAACAGGATCCAGGTATTTTAGAAAAACCTCCGAAGGCCCAAGTAGCTTCTTTCCTATGGGTCATATGGTCAACCATTTAGTCGTTGGAAAAACACGTATGCAGAAGCTACAAGGGCGTAAAGAGTACAGAAAACTTGAGAAACCAAAGTTTGGCCATAGCCTTAAGGGTAAGCATTGAAGGCATCTTCTCCTTGGTGAAGGGGTTAGAGACTGAATGAATGAATGAATGTCCGTGGGAGGCCAGGGCCCGTGGCCTGAGCCACAGACACTTACGCGGTTCCATTTCTTGGGCCAAATGGAGCCCTGTCTTCACTGCTGACAGAGTAGACGTCGTAGCACTCGGTAATCTCGTCTCTCAAGTCCTGGGGAATGGAACAGGACCCGTTTCTGACTCTGAGCTGCCGTACCCGCGGGACCCCCAACAGGAGGTTCTCGCAGTAGATGAAGCTCCGGTTGTCGGCTTCGGTTCTGTTGCTGGGCTGCGCCTTCCAGTACAGCCCATCCAATAAGGCGCCTTCTGTGAACTGAAAGCAGAGGCAACAGTTTTGAAAAGCTCCAAGCTCAGCAGCTGCCTTGCTCCTTCCTGGAATGTTTGTGTGACCAACAGACTGGCAACGCTGCGGACACGGGAGAGTGACAAGGGTGGGTTCTGCTGTTGAACAGATTTGGTTGGATCTTGCTCCGTCATTTACTTGCTGGCTGTGAGGCCTTGAGCATCTGTAATATCTATCTTCTGTCTGGTGGCCACACCTGGCACAGAGTGGATGCTTCGTAAACGGCAACTCTGATTTCTACTTTAGGACTGAAGGCTGGGGAGAGGGTGGAGCTTGCATAAATGCACAACCACGACCACTTTCATTTTCTCTGATTAAAACAGCGCCCCACATAACCATGGTTCATAGTCACTGGAGAGGAGAAGACTGTACTTCTGATTGCCAGTCTGTCCTCCAGGGAACCTTTTAACTGTCTGGCCTATTTTGTCACATGGTCAGCTCTAACCCCTCACCTCTCCTTGCTCCCTTCCATTTTCAGAGTCTGGCCTTCCTTATCATGCATGGAACTGTGAAAGCGTGAGAAGTGTCTCGTTAGTCTGCCCCTCGGGAAGACAGACCCAGTCGTTTCTCAGTGTCTTATCCTTATCAGACGACCAATAGAGATGGAATGACCTACCCCACTGAGGTGGGAAAGATTCACATTACACAGGGGTGGTTTTGGATGCCAAGTATTTTTAGGCATTATTTAGTGTATTTAGTTCTTGTGATCCACTTCCTCTACTTTTAAAATCAATAGCTCTGACCCCAGGGCTTAATAAGAATTTAGAAAGTATCTCCCCAGGAAGAAGCAATCATTTCCTTTCCAATTTTCTTCCTAATTTTCTTAGATTCTGAGCATGTCTTCCAGATCAGTTTAATATTTAATAATCCTATAGTATATCTCGTCCTCTATCACTGTGTTAGAATCTGTAACAATTTGGGGAGGGGCTGGGTTGCATTTTACGTTAGAGATTTTTGAAAGATTGGGCCTGCCTTGTATCACGCACTGTTCTACGGTACACGGTACCATCGACAAAGAAACAAAACAAAAAAACAAAGCAAGACAAAAGAATTAAATTCTGCTCTTATGGTGCTTACATCCTACGAGATACTCAGAAGATTATTTACGGAATTATGAATGACTGAATGAATTATCAACTAGGGCAAGGAAGTCTGTCAGGCAAGAAAAAAGTCAATTTTTCTTACACTTTAGCCACGTGTAAGCACTCTGCATCTTAGTTTCTTCATTTACAACTTGGCGCATAATACTGGTACTTATTAGGTTACTAAGGAGGTTCAGTAAGGTAAGACATGATACACTCAGCACGGTGCAAGGCACCTCCCCTCGTGGTCTCAGTGGAATTGCTAACAACTCACCGCAATTTTGAACATCTCAACCCAGTGTTAAGCACATGGCAGGACCTGTAGATACCGCTGAATTGAATATTATGAAGCCCAGTGAACAATTTCTAGTGGTAAAGAGGTCATTTGTAAATACCTTCCAGAAGTCTTCCATTGAAGAAAGAGTTTTAAAGTTAGCTTTCTCCGTTTTGGACACTGGGGTGTCTAGGAAGAGCTGCGACATTGTCCGGGTGTAGTAGTACACGCTGGAGCTCATCATCCCGTAGGTCACTGGAAGACAGACAGAGCCGCGTGAACTCCGCAAGACGCTGCAGCCTCATGCACACGCTCCTGGTGGACGCGCGTAATGTCCTTCTTTCCCTTTCCCTTTCTGCCAGGACACCTCCCTGGCTCTCTGGCTTTTAAAAGAAATAAATTAACGTTGGCTTATGTGAAACGAAACTGGCTTATTCCTGAACATCAAATGAAGATCACACGCCTCTACTTGACACCTGGGACTTCCAACATGCCCTTCAGTGTCACCTCCCACCATCTCCCTGGACAGACCATCCGTGCCAGTGAGCCTGAAGCCCCCCCACAGAGGCCATGCTGAGCTCCTCATCCTTCGGCTGTGCCCCTGTTGCTCACTCTCCCTACAAGAGCTCGGGCACCCATTCTTGGTTCGTTCCCAGATCAATTCTCCATTCTTCTTGGCCCTGCTCCGTGCCCTGAGGCTGACTTCCACAGACAGTACCATCGGGCTCCCCTGCCTTCTGGTTTCCAGTGAATTCAGCCAATAGGAGGCCAAACAGGAGATCTAGGGGTGCAAGAAGGGAGAGGTGAATTTGTTCCCCAACCTCCCATCCCCTAACTTCCTGGATGCGGCTGCCGGGGGAGTCTCTTCTACCCCAGCAATGCCAGGTTCATGCCACGCCATTCCCACATTTTTTCCCTCCAGACCTGCAGGTGGGAACTGTTCCCCAGTGCCCCATGTCCCCTGTTGGCTCTTGTAACAGTGCCACACTTCCCTAAACAGTCCCTTCGTTAAACTTCCTTTAATTACCACCTTGAGTCTCCCATCTCTTTCTTTCTGGGATGTGGACTAACACAGACACATCTGCCTCCCATCTACCTATCAAATCTTGTAAGGCACGCTCCATACTCAAGCCACATCTGGGCCATGGAGACTTGCTGATCATACCGGCCCATTAGGAACGGTCCTGGAGAAAAGTGGGGAGATAATCTGTAGGCCTACTATGTCACAGGAGATCAGGGTTTGAGTCTGGGTCATGCCTCTTACTTGCTATGTGACCTGGGCAAGTTGACTAAACTTTCCAAGCTTCAGTTTCCTCTTCTATGAGATGGGGATAATTAGCTACCTTATCGGATTTTTTGGAGTGCTTAAAAATAATAATTAAAACTTATCCAATACAGTGGCTGACAGTTAAATGTCCAGTAATGGTGATTCTTCCTCCTTAACCAGACTGCTATAACAAATCTATTAAAAATTCCAGCATTTTAAAGAGTGCTGTCTCACTCTGAACTCTAATAATTGCAGGAACAATATACTATAATTCCTACTATTAGCCGACAAAAAGCTTCAAGAGGAAAGAAACATTTCCCTTTAATACTTCCTTTGACCACAGAAGTTTTATACTTCTTTTGACCATAGTTCTCAATACCCAGCAAGCAATTAATATTTAGCTGATTCTGTAATAATCCACAGGCATCATAACATGCATTTTTAAAGCCTCGTATTTAGTGCTTCAGGGATTAAATGCTATTTAGCAAAGTATTTCCCTCACCTAGTCCCCTCCCCACCCAGGCATCATAGAGAATTAAGATGAAAAGAGAGGAGTGGATACTAGTGATCCAAACACTAGTGTGTCTCAGAGTTCATCTCGAACAGTCAGTGGAGCAATAAATGCACACAACCACACGGCTCGTGTTCCCCATCTAGAGGGGAAGGGACGTCTTCCAGTCCCCTCAGGCAGGCTCCCTCACCTGTCCCTATGACCCACTCACTGGGACAAAAATACTCTTCTTCCAGTGTTACATGAGTTGCCTCCTCTTAAAATTGTACTGGACCAGAGTTAAGGATTTGGACTTTTAATCCAGTCACATTTATGGGCAAGGTGCTAGATGTGAAGATGAGCAAGATGTGATCTCTGTCCTTCAGAAGAGGGGCTCATAGTGTTCCCAGGGGGAGTGCTCCCTGCCAGCTACCACCGAGGGATGGACATGTACTATGTACTCCACAACAGCCTTCTTCGGATCCAAAGCTAATACCATGCTAAAGAGTAGTATTGAAGGCTTCCTAAACTAGACTAAACAATTACTAAATAGATTTTTTTTCATTAGTGAAATTAGAGTTAGCTTTAGATTGACTGATTAATATACAATACTCTCGAATTTTTTACCTGTGGGTTTTTTTGTTAAAAAATTATGATAAGCTAAATTTTTTGATTTATAAATGTGCAATGTATATACACATATATACACATACATATATGTATTTTAGCCACTGATTTAAAAATATATCTCCTTTACTGTCCTCTATTTTTAATACTGATTGCTTCTGAAATTCTCAGGACCCGTATGGAATTTAATGGCTTCAATTAAAGGGAAATGATACAGCCTCTTGGTTATGCAGCGCCACCTGCTGGGCATCCAGAGAAACAATGCCATCTAGCGTTGAATGGATGTGGATTCTAACACATTCATTCAATCAGCAAACATTAACTCAGTCCCCTCCTTGTGCCAGGCAGTGGGCTGGTCCATGGGACATCTTCAAATAACAGCTCCACACGCTCCAGGAATCAGATGCACCATGAGTCCATCTAGGCTGTAGCTAAATGACCCCTGGGATTTGGAGTCAGAACGATTTGGGTTTGAGTTTCAGCTTTTCTTCATCCTTAAGTCAGCCTCTGTGTTCATAATTGTGGGTCTCGGTGTCTTGGGATCTCGGACAACTATTTAAATTTTCTGAGCTTGAGTATCATTATGTAGAAAATGGGGATAATAACATTTCAGACTTTTGTGTAGTTCACCTGGAGAAACGTATGTAAACGCATCTTTTGCATACTGTTAAATGCAATAGAAATATAAGACTGTTACATGAGTCCTCCTTTCAGTCCTTAATGGGAAAAGCCCATTTGAAAGGTAATATTCACCCTTTAAACAAACTTAATTGTAAAGAAAAAAAGCTACAGCATGAAACAAATGACGATCAGAAAGGAGAGGAAATATTTTTAAAAAATATAAGGTAAAGGACACATGTATATCCTATGTGCATATATTTATTCTGCTATTTAGTCCTTGTCTTAACTCCTAAATTTAGTTTTCCATAAAATAAGCCAGAAGGAAAAAAAACACAGCATCGCCAACTAATTAGCATGTAAACTAACCAAAGCTGTCTTATAAACATGGTCTCATTTCAAAATAAACTATGGACACCATTTTATTCTTAATGTAGTTGAAAAACTATAGGCTCAAGTACTAGCAACTAAAAGCAAAGGAGAGATGCCCAATATAACAAAAGAAAAAGGAAATGAAAAGTAATGGGAAAGCATAAAAAGAGAGGAAAAAATAAGATGGCAGAAATTTGACAAAGGCATGAACTGTGAAGAGTTTAAACTGACAATATGGCAAAGTCTTAAATATTGGTTAAAAAATTAAAAGTGCATCTTTAGAGTTTTTATGAGACCCATTCAAAATGAAGCTAAAAATAAAGGAATGAGAAAATACATATTAGACATACATTCGGGATAAAATATTCTTTAAGAGGTGTTGAGTGGTGGTATAATCCTCTGACAAAGGTGATTATAAGGTGACTACTGAGTTACAGAAAAAGGTTATCTTATGTTGAGAAATGATACTTTACACAATGATTTACCTAGAGTGAACACTATGTATTGAATAACAGTATCAAGATATATAAAGCAATGCCTTCTAGTAATATAAGGAGACTTACCAAAACCACAATTGTAGTTCGAAACTTAAATGTATATTTCTCAATCTTTAACAGAGAAAGAAGACAAAAATGATCTAGGGATATTAAGGGTTTTAAATAGAATATGTAACAATGTATAAACATCAAACTTAATACTGCACCAACAGAGATCACTCATACTCTTTTTCAAATGTCCCTGGAATATTTAAGAAAATTAGTAATATTCAAGGCCACAAAGACAACACCAGTAAGTCCCTAAAGTCAAGAATCATCCAGGCAGGTGTCCTTATAGAGATGGCCATGTGAATTATCAGGCGTTAAAGGGAGCAGGAAGGGGTACACTGGGGACTGGACAATTGCGCCTCCTGGGGAGTGATGGAAATGTTAGCTATTTTGACTGCAGTAGTGGTTTCACTGCTGTAGACATCTATCGGAATTCATCAGTGTTCATCTGAAATATGTGCAGCCTACTGTACAGGAACTGTACCACAATAAAGGTGTTAAAAAAATAGGGACCACTGGTAAAAAAATAAAGAGGTGGCCACGTGAAGAGAGGGACACATGGGAAACGCCCTGTGGAAGTGGAGGCCTGAGGCAGTACACGCCGAGGATACCAAGGATACCACGAGCCAGGAGAGGCAGGGAAGGATCCCCTCCAGGCTTCAGAGGGAGCTGGCCCTGCAATTACCTTGACTGGTTTAATCTGGTTTCACAGACAGCAGTCTGGAGCCAGTGCCTGGGGGTCCTACAGTCCAGACACTGGATCCCAATGGTATTCAGAGCCAAATTCTTAATATTTAAATACATCTCATCACCTCCCCCACCCACCCTACTTAAAACCCTGGCTTCTCCTCACCAAAGCCTACCAGACCTGCAGGGTCTGACCCCTGACCACCTTTCCATCCTCATCTGATGGCTCTCTCTCCAGGCACCGTCTGCACTCAGCTTCCGGAAGGTTCTGAGCTCTTTCCTGCCTCAGAAGCTTCACTCGTGCAGTTCCCTCTTCATCTGACCGGCTCCCACGCTTGCGGCAGGCCTCAGAGAGGCCCTCCCTGTAGGGCTCCCTCCTCCCCAGCTGTCTTCTTTCTTATCACTTACCATGTCTAAGGGCAGGGCCTATATATGTTTTAATTAAGTTCCTGAACAGTCATTTGAATCAATAAAGGAATAACCCAAAATAGAAATGATAAAGGTTAGAAATAGCGACAACAGCCACACATGAAGAAGACAGATGTGGGAGGTGCTACAGAGGAAGAATCAGACGAAACGATCCCATGAGAAGAGCGAGGGAAGGCACCGAGGACGACGCCCAGGTTTGAGGTGAGCGGTTCACAGGGGT